ACCCATACAGGCCCTGTACGTGCTGTCACAGGTGCTCTGAGTTTGTGTGTTCTTTAGTCCTGCTGTCCTTAGAAGGCCTCACTTAAGTGTCCTCCATCCCCTCTGGCTCTTACCGTCTTTCTGCCCCCTGTTCTGCAGGGTTCCCTGAGCCCTGAGAGCAGGGATTTGATGGAGACATCCAGCTGAGGACTGAGTATTCCAAGGTCTCTCCCTCTCTGCACATTGTCCAGTTGTGGGTCTTTGTATTTGTTCCCATACAGTAAGGAACAAGTTCTCTGATGATGGCTGAGCAAGACACTGATCTATGAGTATAGCAAAATGTTATTGAAAGTCATTTTAATGCTATGTTCCTTTAGCAAAACAGTAGTATTTGGCTTTTTCCCTAGGTTTTTGGCCTATCTTGTCAGCTGAGCAGTGTCAAAGATGGGTTCGGTCTCATGGAGTAGGCCTTAAATCCAACTAGATAGTGATTGCTTGCTTTCACAGGTTTTGTGCCATTTTTGCACCGTGCAATCTGCAGACAGGTTGCCATTGTAGATTGAAGGGTTTGTATCTGGGCAGTGGTTACTTTTCTCCATTGATAGACTGCCCACTACCTCCCAGTGCCAGGAACACTACTCAGTAGGGGTGAGGCTCTAGGTAGGCACCAGTTCAAATCCTCCATGTCCAATGAGTTGTGTAGGCATTGTCTTCAGCAATAGGGTCTACCATCAGTTTGTGGAGAGCAACCAATAGCCTTTCCTTGCCTTTCTCTTGATCCCAGAGGCAAGCTTTTATTATTTTACCATTAACTGTTACTTTATTATATTATTCTTATAGGTTTCTTTTCCCAAATAAAGACAATTTTGTCATTAAATTAAGGAAACACTTTGAAAAGTTTTATCATGAATGAATTTTGGATATGTTTTCAGATGCTTTTCTACATCTATCAAGATGGCTATAAATTTTCTTTTAATATGTTAACATAATGAATTATATTACTTGAAATTCCAGCATTAAACCAACTTTCTTTATCTAGGAGAAATCAAACTTGTTTATGTTGTCGTATGTGTGTCTGAGTCTGTATAGTAGAATTTAGCTACCTGTTATTTTATTTTGGCTTTTCCTTAGGGGTTCATGAGGCATACTATTTTCATCTAGGCTAATCTTAAAATAGGTCTGTCAGTCTTTTCTGTTTTCTGAGTGAGTTTGCTTAAGATTGTTCTATTTCTTCTTTAAATGCTTGACAATTTTGTCAGTGATGATAACTATAGTAGACTGTGGTCTCAACAAATTTTAAAAAACTGAAATCATCAAGTTTTGGTGTTGTGTTCTTTTGTGCTTCTGGGTATCAAACTCAGAACCTTGAATATACCAGCACTCTGTTGATGAACTAGACCTCCAAATCTCAAAACTATGGGTTTTTAAATTTTTTTTGTCACATGCAATTATTATAAAACCCAATGCAAAACATCTTTACAACCCAGAATAATCCAGGCATTTACAATCTGTAAATCCTAGCACTTTAAGGGAGGACAGTGTTCTAGGTCAACCTGGACTATATGGGGATACTTAGCTTCAAAAACAAAACAAAGTCCCTTATGTTGAGGAATTCTGAAATCATTTCGGAATTCTAAAGTATATTAGAAAACATACTAAAACTTAGGAATTAGTTTGATTTTGAAAATTTATTAAACATCTTAGTTTTCACGAAGCTAGATTTTTATAGACAGTATACACAGTAGAAAAGATGAAAAACAGTGACCTAAATAGCCATCTCAGGAAATTAGCAGAATTAAAATACAGACTACAGTAAAACAGAAAGAAATGTATAAAGAACTCAAGTTAAACAGCAACAAATCAAGTAATCCAATTAAAAAATGGAATACAGAGCTAAACAGAATTCTCAATAGAGGAATATCGAATGGCAGAGAAACACTTAAAGAAATGATCAACGTACTTAATCATCAGGGAAATGCAAATCATAATGACCCTGAGATTTCACTTTACACCCATCATAATGGCTAAGATCAAACATTCAAGTGACAACACATGCTGGAGAAGATGTAGAGAAAGGGGAAACCTCCTCCATTGCTGGTGGAATTTAAACTTGTACAACTACTTTGTAAATCAATCTGGTGCTTTCTCAGGCAGTTAGGAATAGTGCTTCCTCAAGATCCAGCTATACCACTCCTGGGCATATATCCAAAAGATGCTCAACTATACAACAAGGACATTTGCTCAACCATGTTCATAGCAGCTTTATTCATAAAAGCCAGAATCTGAACACAACCCAGATGTCCCTCAACTGAGGATTGGATACAGAAATTGTGGTACATTTACAAAATGGAATACTACCCAGCAACTAAAAACAAGGAAGTCATGAAATTTGCAGGCAAATTATGGGAACTAGAAAAGATCATCCTGAGTGAGGTATCCCAAAAACAGATACACATGGTATATACTCACTTATAAGTGGATATTAGACATATACTATAGGATAAACATACTAAAATCTGTATACCTAAAGAGGCTAAGCAAGAAGGAGGACTCTGGGTAAGATGATCAATCCTCACTCAGAAAGGCAAACAGGATAGACATCAGAAGAGGGAAAAAACAGGAAACAGGACAGGAGCCTACCACAGAGGGCCTTTGAAAGACTCTACCCAGCAAGGTATCAAAGCAGAGGCTGAGACTCATAGCCAAACTTTGGGCAGAGTACAGGGAATCTTATAGAAGAATGGGGAGATAGAAAGACCTGGAGGGGACAGGAGCCCCACAAAGAGAACAACAAAACCAAAAAATCTGGGCCTGGGGCTCTTTTCTGAGACTGATACTCCAACCAAGGACCATGCATGGAGATAACCTAGAACCCCTGCACAGATGTAGCCCATGGCAGCTCAGTCTCCAAGTGGGTTCCCTATTAAGGGGAACAGGGACTGTCTCTGACATGAACTCAGTGGCTGGCTCTTTGATCACCTAGCCCTGATGGGGAGCAGCCTTACCAGGCCAGGGTAGAATTGGGAGGGGCTGAGGGAGGGGGCTACAGTTGGGATCCAAAGTGAATAAACTGTAATTTATTTAAAAAAATAAATATTTTTTACAAAAAAAAAGAAATGTTAAGCTAGAGGATCAGGAAAGTCAAGAGTTGGTCCTTGAGAAGCTGGTGAAGTCAGTAGCTTCCAGGGATGCTGCGTGAAAATGAAGGAGGACACTTTACGTGGGTGGAGCTTCTCTCCTGACCACAGACTTAGAGGGTTAGATACGTGAGTTTATCCCTTGGTAATTTGCAGGAGCAGTCTACTCCCTTGTGAAGGGAAATTTTCATGCAAAATTTTGGTAATCAAATTATCTCGTGCTGATTTCTTTGTGGAAAGGCTGTTCGATCACTGAGTTAGTTTTAAAGAATAATTTTGAGGCTCTATAAGATTTCTGTTCTCTGTGTGTGTTGATAGTACCGATACCCTTTTAAATACCATGGCATAAAACGTTACAGCAGTACCTAGTTTGTTTCGACAACTATTTGCAATGTGTAGAGACAACTGTTACTTCCTGTGTTGCTGTTTATATATATATATATATATATATATATATATATATATATATATATATTCAGTCACACTGGATTATTTGGATAAATTTCCAGGTTCTAGCTTTAGAAAACAATTTTAGGAGCTCAGCATAACTGAGTAGTAGCAGTAGGAAGCACATGCCATGTAAAGGCTGAGCGCTGTCTTGGTTCGGGCTTTTGAAAGTGTCTGTCTACTGCAGAGACTTGGAAGCTAGCTTTAAGTCACCTCGTGGGTACTTTAGGTGGACTAACGATATCTATGATTCCTCTAAAATTGTATCTAATAGTTTTTGGGAGTATGCTTTGTTAGTGTGTGTATACATGCATGCATGCTTGTGCCCATGTGTGCCCATGTGTGCTGGTGTTTGTATGTGAATGTGTATAAATATGCGTGCGGGTGGGCATGCATGCATATGTCTAGGCATGTGTGCCCCCGCACATACATTCATTTGTGTGGAAATGTTTGCATTAGTGATAAGTGTGTGTTTGTATTTATTTGTATGGAGCATGTATTAGCGTGGGTGTGTTTGAGTACATGTGTGTTCATGCGCATGTGGAGACCAGAGGTTAGATTTAGTCATTACTTCTTGTTTTTTTGAGGCAGGGTCTCTGTGACCTGAAACTCACCAAGTAGACTAGGCTAATTGGCCAGGAAGCCCTAGTGATCTGGCCAGCTTCACCTACCCAGAGCTGTGACTGCGGGCATGTGCCAACATGCCCAACTTTTACATGGGTTGTGGGGATGGAGCTCATGCTCTCATGCATGAGTTGACAGCTTGAATATGTATTTTTTAAATAGCAGGAAGTAGAGAGTCCAGTGACTTCCTACAGATTCTCAGAATTTAAAACAGTTTATATAGCCGGGCAGTGGTGGTGCAAGCCTCTAATCCCAGCACTAGGGAGGCAGAGGTAGGTGGATCTCTGAGTTCTGAGTTCAAAAGTCAGCCTGGTCTGCAGAGGAGTTCTAGGACAACTAAGGCTACTCAAAGAAACCCTATCTTGACAAAAACAAAACAAAACAAAGATTAAAGAAGGGGTAAGAAAAACGAACACAGACCAACAAGTAGTCTCTTTTTAAACGTAAAACTTTTTGAAATACAATTTTATTTGATGTGCATGGGTGTTTTACCTGCATGTATGTCTGTGTACCGTGTGCATGCAGTGCCCAAGCAGGCCAGAAGAGGGCATTAGATACCCTGGATCTGGAGTCACAGATAGTTCTAAGTGGCCTTATTGGTGCTGGGAACCCAACCTTTGTCTTCTGCAAGAGCAGCAAGTACTCTTCATTACTTAGCCATCTCTCTAGCTACCCTACATTTTTGGCTTTAAAAAATATTTATATTGGTATATAGCCATTTTAGTGAATATTAACTGCATGTAGGATTCTCATTGAATTTGTTCATTTCATATTATTTTGCCAGTGCATTAATTGAAAAATTTTCTTTTTAAGGTTCAGGAACAAGTACATCCCACCCTTTCAGCTAATGAAGAGTCTCTTTATTATATTGAAGAACTGATTTTTCAGCTGCTTAATAAGTTATGCATGGCTCAGCCAAGGACTGTTCAAGACGTGGAGGTAAAAATTATTGTTACTTCAAAAAACAAAAAACCCATGAAATTAATTTTTGCCACTATAAATTTCTGTAGAAATTCAAACCACTGACATTATATGATTTATATATATTTATATACACACACACAAACACACACATATATACTCAGTTCATTTTCAAGAAATATATCAAGTCAGTTCATTTAAAAAAAGTAAAGTTTTTAGAAAAAAAAGTAGGTGGATAAATGGGAAAAAACCTTAAACCTTATCTCCTACGATAGATAAAAATTAACTCAAGAGATCATAATCTCACATATAAAAAATGAAATTATAAAGTTTGTAGGAAAGAAGGTTGACAAATTGTATCATAATTTGGAATTAAGCAAGCACTTTTTAGAGATGGCTGAAAACACAGTATTAAAGGTTAAAATTAAGAAAATGAAAAGGTATTAAGCATGCCTATAATCTCAGCTCTCAGGGCTGAGAGAGGAGTCTCTCTACTTTGAGGTTAGCCAAAGTTCACCTACAAAATGAGGCAAATCGCAGACTCTGGGGGAAAAAGTCCTCCCCCAGGTTTGCAAAATTCTTGAATAGAAACTTAAAAAAGAAGACATACTAGTTGTCTATAAACACATGAAAAGTTTCTGAAGCTTAGAAGCCACCTGAAAAATAGAAATTCAAATCATAGTGAATGTCTTACACAGCCACAAAAAGTGAAAAAGTACAAAAAAGGGGGAGGGGTGGTGGCTGACTACATTACATACAGACAAGAATGTAGACTACCTAGAACTTTACATTAGAAGGAGTATAAGCCGGGCACCTTTAATCTCAGCACTCAGGCAGGTAGAGGCAGGAGGATCTCTGTGAGTTCCAGGCCAGCCTGGTCTACAAAGCAAGTCCAGGACAGCTAAGGCTACACAGAGAAATGTTTTCTCGAAAAACAAAAACAAAAAAAGGAAAAGTTTTTTTCTTTTTCTTAATTTATTTCTAATACTTAATTTTATTAACCTAATGTATTTGTTTATTCACTGGGAATGCCAGTCTTGGTTATCAGTTTAATTGGATCTGGAATCAACTAAGAGACAGCCTCTGCATAAGTCTAGGAGGGTATTTCCTAGACGATTTATACTTCTAAAAGTAGGAGTATAAACGCTATAACAACTATGCAAAATTCTTTGGCAGTTTCTACCAAAGTTACTTCTATGTTTAACATTTGGCCGAGCAATTGTACTCTTAGATATGGAGAATAAAAGTATGTGTTCATAAGTGATATACACACAAACAAGCAGTTTAATTTGTAATAGATAAAAGTTACCAAAGCTCAAACCTCTATCAATAAGAACGTGTGTATGTTTATTACTTTTATATCATTATTGTCGGAATATCTGTGAGAGGACTGCTTAAAGGAGGAAGGATTAATTTCAGCTCACGTTTCAGAGGCTTGAGTACGTAACTGCTTGTGCCTCTGTGTTGGAGCAAATCATGCCAGTGGGAGTGGAGCAGGTGGACGAGAAGGTTGCTCACCTCTCAGTGTACGGAGCCGAGTGGGGGTGAGTGACTTCACAGTAGACAGTGCGGGCAGGGCTGGGCTCACAGCAGGTAGAGCAGAGTGGACACGACTAGGGACCGTGGATAAGCTTCAAAAGCACATACCTCATTTTGACCTACTTTGTCCAACTTGCCTTACTTCCTAAAGTTCCCAGAATCTCCCAGAATAACACCACCATGTATTAACAAGCATTTTAACTCATGAGCTTGTAAAGGACATTTCATGATCAAACCGTAACTTTTCCCCCTGGTTTGAAGACTCATTGTCATCTCACAATGCAAAATGCATTTTGTCTTTCTCCAGAGTTTCCAAAATTCTGAGCAGTTCTAACACTGTTCATAACAAAAGCCCAAAGTTTCCAATAAGATCAAAGCAGTCTCTTAGCTGTGACCCTGTGTAAAATAAAAAAGAAAATTACTTCCAATATGCAATGGTACAAGGTGAACAATCCATTCCAAAAGGGGGAAGTGGAGTTGTAGAAAGGCATGATAGGACCAAAATAAGACTGGAACACAGCAGGGAAAACATTAGTACTGTAGCCCCATGTCCAGCGTCCAGGGCATGTGACATTAAGATGTCAGGTTCAGCAGGTGTGGGGCAGCTCCCCTCCTGTTGCCTTGCCATTGATAGCCGATGAGACTTTTCTCTTTGAAGCTCGCCTCTGCATACATTCTACATAGCTGGTATCTTCAGCATCCTGATATCTCCATTGCAACCGAGACTTCCTGACAGCTTCACGCATTGCCTTCCCACAGGCTTCTTGCAGGGATCCTATGCCTACTTTGAAGTCTGGTTGAAAGCCTCCACCAGGCTCATTACTCTTGTATTTTACATGCCTACAAAACCAGTACCATATGGACAAGACCACAGACTGCCATGTTATGGCCTGATTGTCTAAGACAGCAGCAGCAGTAGTCTCTGGGTACACGAGCAATTGAAGCTGAAAAGCGCTTTCCCAGGGCACCTATTTTTTAAATGAGTTAAAACCTCTGTACCCTAATGTTGTAATGGGTAGGTGCTGGCCAATTCCGAGATGCCTGATGTCATCTTTCCTATTACTCGGGTGCAAAGGACTGCATTTCTTCTGTGATGTGGAATGGAGACAAGGCAGCTGTTGTGGCAAGCTGGCCTTGAATTTAACTATGTAGCCTTATTCCCTTTAGGAGAGGATCTTTGCAATATGAATTTAAACCTTCTAGGAAATACCTTCCTAGACTTATGCAGAGGCTGTCTCTTAGTTGATTCCAGATCCAATTAAACTGGCATTCCCAGTGAATAAACAAATGCATTATGTTAATAAAATAAGTATTAGAAATAAATTAAGAAAATTAAATACTCTGTGTGATAATAGTGGCATTTCAAGAAATATAGGGTAAAAAAAAAAGCCATTCCTAAGAGAATATGTGTAAGATTTCATTTTACGAACTTTGGAAACTGCTAATAACAATGGTGATAGAAATCAGGGCCTAAGATGGCTTGACATCTAAAGGTGCGTGCTGTCTGTGCATGCAGAATGATAACGTGACTTTGATCCATGCAACCCACATGAAGTTGGATGGAGAGAAACACCAAAGTTGTCCTCTGGCCTTCACAGACATGCGGTGACATATATGCACACACATAAGGAATGAACAAAGATCAAGGTTACAGAAATGTTCTATGTATTGATTTGGATGATGTTTACATAGGTGTGTACATTTTCACAGTTCATTAAACTGCATATTAACAGTGTTTTCAGCTGGGCACAGGAAGCTGAGGCAGGGGGAGCATAAGTTCAAGGTCATCTGGGTACAAGCTTTCTGGAAGTATTAATGAGAAGTTGGCCTCTAGGTAAATGATGTTAATTTTAAAAATAAAATTTAAAATCACTGATAGACTATTTCATATTAATATATAGATCTTCTGTGTATTGTACCTTTTCCTAATTGATATTTTTTAACTGTGCTAGGACTCAAACCTAATCCTCGCACAATCACACAGGCAAACTACTGACCTACTCTCCCCAGTGCTGGCATGATAAACTTAAAAAAATTTATATGACAATTATATGATAAAATCTTGTTATTGACCTTTGTTTATCTTTATTTTGAGTTAGGGTCTCACTATGTAGCTTGGACTAGCCTCAACTTACCATGTAGCCTAGGCTGCCTTTGAACTCATAGTCTTCCTGACTCCACCTTCTCAGGATTATAGATGTGCCACTGTGACTGGTGACTTTTTTCTCTTTTTTTTTTATTAATTATTATTTTTTATTATAATATATTCACTTTGCATCCAGGCTGTGGCCCCCTTCCTTGTCTCCTCCCAACCCCACCCTCCCTCCCTCATCTCCTCCCATGCCCCTCCCCAAGTCCACTGATAGGGGAGGTCCTCCTCCCCTTCTATCTGACCCTAGCCTATCAGGTCTTATCAGGACTGGCTGCATTGTCTTCCTCTGTGGCCTGGCAAGGCTGCACCCTCCAGGGGGAGGTGATCAGAGAGCCTGCCACTGAGTTCATGCTGGAGACAGCCCCAGTTCCCCTTACTAGGGACCCCACTTGGAGACTGAGTAACCCATAGACTGGTGACTTTTTTAAAACCTGGAAGTTTTTTCATTCCTAGGATCAGAACATATTGTGCCCTGCTATCTTCTTGTATTACTGGGACTGATCAGGTTGTGTTTTATATTCTATTTTTAAACACTTCTGCTGATTCTGAATGGCCCCGCTTTGATCTGAACAGGAACGAGTTCAAAAGACGTTTCCTCATCCTATTGATAAATGGGCAATTGCTGATGCACAGTCTGCCATAGAGAAACGAAAGCGAAGAAATCCTCTTTTACTACCTGTGGACAAAATCCATCCTTCCTTGAAGGTAATAAAAGGTTAGACGCTGGGGGACTTCCTTATAATAAGTAATACTTTTATAGTAATAATGCACATATAGTATTAGTAATCTGTTTATATATTATGTCTATTATTATATGTGTATGAAATAAGAATGGGGAGTGGGTGTGCGTGTCAGTGGTATGTTTTACATGAGTGATACCCTGGGTTGAATCCCTAGCCTGCTCTCTACCCACCCCCAAAGAAAAGAAAATAAGTGTACCCTAACAAAGTCTATGGCTCATATTCTCTCTCTCTCACTCTTTTCTTGCTCATGTATGTGTATGTGTGTGTGCATGCATGCACAGCAAAGTTAATGGTAATATACATTGTGATTTTTTTTTTTGTATCTTCCAATAATGACTACCTCTTAGCAACTCCAGTATCATAGACCATGATTCTAAGTTTTGTTATGAAGAAAGTTTAATAGCAAAGGCACTGAATGTTTTAAAATTAACCTGTATAGGTTGGAAAGGGCACTAGAGACTAATCTATCTAATACGGTTGGTGTGTATAGATTTGAACACCTTTTCGTAGAAATTTTAATAACCCCCTCATTCTAGTTTTCTGTGATAAAGAGCACAGCCAGAAATAACGTGGTAAGAAGAGGGCATCTGTCATGCCAGCTTATGCTTTACAGTCCATTATTGAGTGAAGCCAAGGCAGGAGATGCAGGTAGAAACTGTGCTGCTCACTGGCTTTTTCTCCGTGGCTTTGTTGGCTTGCCTTTTTTTTTTTTTTTTTTTTTTGTCAATTATTAATAAAAATTATGCCACAGACTTGCCTGCAGGCCTATCTGGTAGAGGTGTTCTTTTAGTTGAGGTTCCTGTTCTGGACCATAGCTCCTACTGAGTTGATAAACTAACCATCAGCAGGCCCCTCCCCCAGGGCACACATAGAGAAAAGGACCACAGGGATTAAAGGACAGTGCTTTTAAAGCAGGGTCACATGGGTTTTCAGTCAGGTGTTATGAAGCTGTCAGTAAAGTCTAGCCCAACTTTTTTTTTTCCTGGTCTTTTGTTTCTATATTTTCTGATTTTGTGTTTTTATGGGTTTTGTTTTTGTGTGTGTTTCATGCCTTTCTTTTCTTTTCTTTTTTTTTTTTTAATTCTGTTTTTTGTTTGTTTTGTTTGGCTGTTTTTTAAACAGAAAGAGAACAAGGTCTTAGAGTTAGGTGGAGAGAATCTGGGAGGAGATGAGGAAGAGGAAACTGTGATCAGAATATATTGTATAAAATATTTAATTTCAGGCTTAAGAGATAGCTCAGAGGTTAAGAGCACTGGCTGCTCTTCCAAAGGTCCTGAGTTCAAATTACATCAACCACATCATGACTCACAACCATCTATAATGAGATCTGGTGCCCTCTTCTATTGTGAAGGTGTATATGTAGGCAGAACATTGCATATAATAAAAAAATAAATAAATAATAAATGAATAATTTACAAATTATTTATAATAATAATGAATTAATTAATAATTTATAATAAACGAATTAATTAATTAATTTCAGTCAAAAAATGTAGCCAAGATTCCCTGTTAGAATTACCTATTATAGTTTGATGAATACTTGTTTTCTCCTACATCCAATGTCCATCCCCTTTGTCTTTCTAAGTGAGGATTGATCCTCTTATCCCAGGTCCTCTATCTTGCTTATCTTCTTTAGGTGTACAGATTTTAGTTTGTTTATCCTGTCTTATGTGTCTATGTAAGTGAGTATATACCATGTATGTCTTTCTGCTTTTGGGATACCTCACTGAGGATGATCGTTTCTAGGTAGGTCCCACCATTTGCCTGCAAATTTCATGATTTCCTCATTTTTAATTGCTGAGTAGTATTCCATTGTGTAAAAGTACCACAATTTCTGTATCCATTCCTCCACTGAGATTAGGTATTTTCTTCTTCTTTTTTTGTATAATAAATAATTCAAGGATCAGCTATTGATTTTACATCCTATGGCAGTGGTTCTCAGCCTTCCTAATGCTGTGACACTTTAATACAGTTCCTCATGCTGTGGTGACCCCCAACCATAAAGTTATTTTTGTTACTACTTCATAACTATAATTTTGCCAGTGTTTAAATTGCAATGTAAATGTCTGCACTTTCCAGTGGTCTTAGGCCACCCCTATAAAAAGATCGGTTGACCTCCCCACAAAAAGAAGTCACGACCTGGAGGGTTTAGGAACAAAAGTGATATGGAAAATTTTTTTAGTGCTAAACTCAGGACTTGCTCCTGCCTTGCAAGTTCTTTACAGTGAAGCTACCCCAGCTCTTTCTTTCTTTTTTAATTTTCATTTTATCTTATTTTATTACTATTTATTTTTTAAAGTCTATTAAATTTACTCATTTTACATTCCATTCACAGCCCCTCCCTCTTCACCTCTCGGTCCTGCCCTCCCTACATTTTCCCCTTCCCCCCTTCACTTCACCTCAGAAAAGGTGAAACTACAAACTCGCCTCAGCATTATCAAGTCATGTCAGGACTGAGCTCATCCTCTTGCACTGAGGCCTGACAAGGCAGCTCAGCTAGGAGAAAGGGATCCAGTAGCAGGCAGCAGAGTCCATGTCAGATATGACCGCACTCCACTTCTAGGGGACCCACATGAATACCAAGCTGTCCATCAGCTACATATGTGCAAAGGGCCTGGGTCCAGTCCATGCGTGCCCTGTGGTTGGTGCTACTGTCTCTGTGAGTCCTCATGAGCCTTGCTTAGCTGACTCCGTTAGTCTTGAGGAGTTCTCCCCAGCTCTTAAGGAGTTTTAAGCACTCAACTGATACTTGATGGTGTTTTTGTTTTGAAATTGAATTCTTCTTTTTTTTTTTTTTTTTAACAGGAAGTTTTGGGATATAAAGTGGACTATCATGTATCCCTCTACATTGTGGCTGTATTGGAGTATATCTCAGCAGATATTTTGAAATTGGCTGGTAATTATGTTTTTAACATCCGGCATTATGAAATATCTCAGCAAGACATTAAAGTATCAATGTGTGCAGATAAGGTAAGTCTTAAAAAATAGTGAAGCTTAAATTGAATACTAATAGCTATATGGCATTTGTTGTACTCTTTTTTTTCACTCAAGTATTTATTTATTTATTAATTATAGTTTATTCACTTTGTATCCTGGCTGTAGCCCCTTTCCTCTTCTCCTCCCTGTCCAATTATCCTCTCATCTCCTCCCATGCCCCTTCCCTAGTCCACTGATAGGGGAGGTCCTCCTCCCCTTCTATCTGACCCCTATCAGGTCTCATCAGGGCTTGTGCATCATCTTTTGTGGCCTGGCAAGGCCGCACCTCCTCCCCCTCTAGAGGGAGGTGATCAAAGAGCTGACCACTGAGTTCATGTCAGAGACAACCCCTATACCCCTTACTAGGGAATCTACTTGGAAACTAAGCAGCCTATGGGCTTCCTCTGAGCAGGGGGTCTAGGTCTTCTCCATGCATGTTACTTGGTTGGATTATCGGTCTCATGCTAAACCATACTACAAGGACATTCACTCAACTATGTTCATAGGAGCTTTATTAATAATAGCCAGAATCTGGAAACAACCCAGATGTCCCTCAGCTGAGGAATGGATACAGAAATTGTGGTACATTTACACAATAGAATACTACTCAGCAATTAAAAAAGAAGGAAATCATGAAATTTGTAGGCAAATTATGGGAACTAGAAAAGATCATCCTGAGTGAGGTATCCCAGAGGCAAAAAGACACATATGGTATATACTCGCTTGTAAGTGGATATTAGCCATATAGTATAAACATAGTAAGTAAAATCTATACACCCAAAGAAGCTAGCAACAAGAAAGACCCTAGGAAAGAGGCTGAAACCTCACTCAAAAGGGAAAACAGGATAGATATTGGAAGTAGGAGAAGACAAGGAAGAGGACAGGAGCCTTCTACAGAGGACCTCTGAAAGACTCTACCCATCAGGATATCAAAGGAGGTACTGAGACTCAGCCAAACCTTGGGAAGAGTATAGGAAACCTTATGAAAGAAGAGGAAGATACTCCAAGTACCGTGTTGTACTCTTTGAAAATGAATTGTAATGAAGTTAGTTTCTTTTTTAAAATTGTGAAGACTTTTATATATTAAATTCACACACTTCACATAAAATATAAGCTGATACTAGAAATACTTCTTTCTGCAACACAAACAGTTCCTTTAGTTGTCCTGCGGATAAGAACAGGGCTTTGCACATGCCTGACAGGTGCTTTACCCCTGAGCTGTACCTTCAGCTCCTGTTCACCTTTATTCATTCTATTTACTTGAGAATCTTTTTTAATAACAGGGATTTTTAAAAAAAAACTTAGGTTTACCTGTCCTTGAGAGGGGCAGGGTAGGGAAAGAAAGCACATACCATGTGGAGATTGTGGGCAGCTTTCAGGCATCCTGTCTCTTCTACCATGTGGGGCTCGGGCTGAACCATGGCCATACATGACTTTACTGCTCAATCACTGTCCCTGCTTGTTTTGGAGACAGGATTTCTCTGTATGGCCTACGTTGGCCTTGAACTCACTGGATAGCTCAGGCCAGTCTTAAATTCATGATCAGCCTGATTTAGGCTCTGAAGTGCTAGAATTATCAGCATGCACCACCATATTTGGTTTCATTTTTTATTATTTTTTTTGTAGTAATGATGTCACTAGGTTATTGTTTTTCTGCTTTAAAGCCATAGTCTCACTGTATATTCCCAGGTAGCTTGAAACTTGCTTTGTAGACCAGGCTGATCTTGAATTTATAGAGGTTCCCTATCTTCTGCTTCTTAAGTATTGGGTTTAAAGGGGTGTGCCTAAATGCCTGGCAAAATATTAGTAAAATTTATAATTTCTGATACTGGATGACAGAAAAATACTTGCAAAATACAAAATGCAAACACTTTGCATATTTGCAAAATATCGTATTTCCATGGTTCAGCATCTATGGCAGGGAGGAGAGTTCTCTTTTTCCATCAAAAGCTTTTATAGGAGGAGGCAGGGGAGGGGGAATCCATCCAGATCAGATGAAGAAAGGTGCTTTTAGATAATGTTTATTTTATTCAGTTTTTCTTTTTCTCCATTGCTTTTTAACTCTGGCTAGCCTGGAACTTGCCTAGGCTGGTGTTAACTGGGAGAGCCTCCTGCCTTTTGAGTGCTGGAATTTCTAGGCATGAGCCAGCACACACTCCTGAGTTTTGTAGTTTTCAAATGACAATATACCAGAATTGTTTCTGGTATTTTAAATACAAGCAATTTTGAAGAACATGCTTTGCTATCTCAGGACAGTTTAGGAGGATATAGGCAGAGAAAGAACTTGCCACGAAGTTATTGCCCCGATCATTCTTTTCTTGATTACAAACTCATCTTTCTTCTTCTTCATAAGTACTGCTTGAGGGAAAATTCTGTCTTCCATTTCCTTCTTTCCTCCTTTTGCTCCTTTCATATTGCCTCAAGTACCTGTCCTGAACAAGGAAAGTACAAAACTAAAAAAGACAGCAATCTGTGCTAAAAGGAATATGTGTTAGTGTGAAATGAAAACGTCATAAACAAATAACTCAGCACAAGGTGACTGAAACATTATACCAGTAAATCCGGTGTGCAGTGGAGAAAGTAATCAACTCATGACAGACTCTAGGAAGACTTGACAGAGTAGATTGCTGAAGCTGGGTCTCTGGCTTAGCACTAGCTGGTGGTTGTCAGCCTTGGCTGTTCATTAGCATCACAAGGAAGTTTTAGAGAATACTGGTGTTTGCAGAGGTTTAAATGGCCTGAGTTAGACTCCCAAGCCACATTATTGTTTAAAAATGCTTTTTTTTTTAACCTATATTTGAAATTTATTATTCTATGCTGTAATTTAAAAACTGATTTTCACTTGGATTTTCTTATATAAATGTGTCATTTTTATTTTGACTTCTAACATCATGATTTCATACTTTTTGATACTTTAAAAGTGACTTAAGCTGACAAGAAACTGGAAGTACAGTACAGAGTAGCCCATTGCATTATGAGTCATTTTGAGAGTAAACTACCAGCTTAGGATGTTCTGCTAACAAGAACATTTCCCTACAGTACAGTAGTGAGAGCGTCAGAATCCAGCACATTGGCACATGAGAGGTGTGTGACCTCAGATCCCGCTGCTGTCTCACCAGTTGCTCCAGGGGATCCTCTATAGCAAGTGATTAGTCCAGAGTCGTAACACTTTTCTCCTAGAGAAATTCCATTCTTCTTTAACTTTTATGACTTTGACACTTGAGAACTATGGGTCAATTGTTAATGTACAGTGGTCCTCGAATTGAAAATTTTCTGATGTTATGTTTTGGCTAGAATCAGGTTACAGTTTTCAGCATGAATTCATAGAAGTGTACTATGTTCTCATTTTATTTCCAAAAAATATGAAATATTTTTGAAATAATATGAAATATTATCACACTTTAGTTTACTTATTTTTTTCATTTAAATATGGATTTACAGGTTCTTATTTTATTCAGTGGGCCATAGTTAGTTATTTAGATGTTCAGATTATCCCAGATTTGATCAGGTCAGGTGGAAGCTCCAACTTTACTTATTTCTGTCATTTTTTGAATAATTTTTTTGTTTACTTTAGTATAAATTGACAAATTGTAAGTTTTATACTTCAGCTTACACTGTGGCTATGACTTATAAATACTGTGTGAAATAAGCTTATACCGTATCTGTCAACTCAGATATGTGTATTTGTGGTGAGAACATTTGAAACTTATTCTTTTAGCAATTTTGAAATGTACAGTATATTGTTCTTGGATATATTCTCTATGCTGTGCATTAGGTATAATTTTTTTTTTTTTTGGTCTATTTGAGACCTTTTGGCCCTTACCTCTCATTTCCTTCCCCAGGCTCCGACTCTGTTTCTGTGCTCTTCTGTGCTCTATGTTCCTGTAAACACAGTTATCTTAAGCATGTAGTGTTTGTCTTTTGGGAGCACTCTAATTCAGCAGTAGACAGTGTAGGTTCATCTTCTTCAATATGACACTGTCCAAGCTGAGAAAGAGTTGTTTCCTAAAAAACAATAATAACAACAAAACTTTAGATCCTTTGTAGGAGAGTATGGTATGTGGAAACCCAAGATGTGCTCACTAGAGATGCTTATTGCTGTTGGGGCACTCCATCTGTCTCTGTCGTTCTGTCTCTGTCTGTCGCTCTCTCTTATACACAGATACACATGCACAGACACTAACCCACTCCCCTTGCTTCTCAGCTCTCTAGTCTATAAGGTTTCACTTTAGTCTTCCCTTTTCATATTGTACCTCCCTTCTTTGGCATTGAAGAATCTGTCTTTTTAAAATATATTAATTAATTAGTTATTACTATTGTAGACCACATTCTTCTACCTCCTCAGACTCCCAGGACTTTGTGTCAAGTTGTCCTCTGATAGGAATAACCTCTATGCCGGTTGATCATGTTCCCCAATGTCAGGCTGTGTCTTTTCCACCCACCCATTCTGTCTCTTCTCTTTTCTTTTTTAAGATTTATGTATTAATTGTTTTTATGTGTAAGTATATGTACTTGTGAGTTTATATGACCAAGTGCATGCAATATCTACAGAGAGCAGTGTCTACAGAGGGCAGTGGCATTGGATCCCCTGGAACTAGAGTTAAAAGCAGTTGTGAACTCCCTAATGTAAGTGCTGGGAACTGAACACAGGTCCTCTGCAAGAGCAGTTAGCACCTTTGACTGCAGCATCTCTCCAACACCCCCGCCCCTTCCTTTTAAAAAATTTTTCAGTCAGGGTTTCTCTGTGTGGCCCTGGCTGTTCTGGACTTACTTTGTAGACCAGGCTAGCCTCGAACTCATAGAGATCTTCCTGCCTCTGCCTCCCTGAGTGCTGGGATTACAAGTGTGCACCATCTCACTGAGCCCTCCCACCCCTTCTTACAGTGCTCTGGTCCCAACACGCTGAACTGAAATACCACAACTTCTCACCCTCTGCCTTGCAGGCACTCCTATCTTATTTGTCTTGTCCATCCTCTTCCTTCAGAGACCAAAAA